GTTAAATCAAAAGTGAGTGTGTCTATTCAACCCTCCACCACAACCCGCAAGGGTTTATTGTGGCTCTGTATAGACTTTATACGGGACATCGTTTGCAACATTTTCCTCGTGAAGGTTCTTCCACAGTACTCAACAGCTATTTCCAAGTGTTTGCTGGGAATAACTGTGGGTGCCTTTGTCAGTTGGTTGAATGGAAAATACAAATTTTTCAAAATGAATGAATTCAAATAAGCACTTCTCCCAAACACCAGAACAACAACCAAGTTAACGTCTTCAGGAGATAAAGGCGTCTTTAAGGGTCGAGATGAATGTTGCAGTTCTGTTCGGAAGACGTGCCTAATTTGGCCAAATTTTTGAACTGCTTAACTACTTAATTAATTAATTAAAAAATGAGGGAATCTTTAAATGTCGAAAATAAATCAGTTGAATGGGATATATTAGGAATTTGCATACGTAAAAAAAAGTGTTGAAAATAACAATCGGGTTAAATTGAAAATTTCCATTTTTATTTAGAAATGGAACTGACTTTTGGTCTATTTTTTTGATCCTAAGCTGAAGAATGTTCCCATAAAAACTAAAGCACTGCAAAATGAACAAGTAAACTTTCCGAATTCAGGCATTTGACACCGTTGTTTTTTCAACTGTTAAAAATGTATTATGCTCGAATGGAATCATAATTCAGATACGGAATACCAATGTCAACAACGTTAGATAATTTACATATTCAGATACAAGGACCGATTCAATGAAAATAAATGCTTTCATTTTGTACTAATATGTGAACATCTCAAATAGTCCAATCATCGAAGGTGAAATACGGCCATAATGTATAATTTTGCGAAATAGTACCAATTTGCACAAAAGTTTGGAATTAGGTTCTACAAAAATGTTATTATTTGCGGCATTGATTTGTACACATTATAGCTTTGATTTGGGTAGTTTTTGAGTTATTAAAAAAACATTATTTTGCAAAATTAAAATGTTTTTTTCTCTTCAAATCAAATTTTCACAAAACTGAGTACTTTCACCCTAGCAAACTTTCAAAACATAATTTATATCTATTATCTTTACTAATATTATAAATGTGAAAGTTTGTGTGGATGGATAGATATATGCATGTGTGTTTGTGGCTCTTTCACGCCTAAACGACTGAACATATTTGGATGAAAATAGTTTATACATGAGAATAACATATAGGCTACAATTTACAAAGGTTTTGTATAATTTTGGTCATGATATAACGATAAGTACTGAGCCATTACGCATCGCGTCTACTGAAAGACGACGGGGATGATGCTCAGGGGTAGACGAGTGGTCTAAGCAATGAAGCGCCATCGCCGAAACGCAACGCTAACGCAATGGTGCCTATTGATTGACTGCCACTTTTTTATTAACATACAGCCGAAGCTACTGAGCCTAGAATCTTGAAATATATAGGTAGGTTGTCTGTATAGCGTAAATAAGTATCAAGAATGAGAATCAGGAATTTTCACCCCCAAGGGAGAAAAATACAATCTTCAAAATAGGGACTTGAAGATTGTATTGAATTTCGTCAGTTTTGAAGTAGGAAACCTATTTGTTCAAAATGGTCTGTCATGAAACTTAATGTAACAAGTCAAACTCTATGCGGGCGAAGCCACGGGCAACAACTAGTACTGGAATATAAATGCAATGAATTGCAAAGTGGTAACGTATATTTTTAAATGGGGTTGTGATCCGGCTCCAAAATAATTTTCTTCATAACTCGCTTAATTTCGATGTTGGGAATTTTCAAGAAGGAAAAAATTAAGGTTTTTTCAAGCACTTTAAGAAGTGAGTAAGGCCGATGACATCTTCCTTTACGAAGACGTCATCTATGGGATTGATAGAGAACTCAATCTTCGAGGCGGTCACTTTCAAAGCAAATCTTCGACATCGACAGCCGACCTGATTCGACCTCATGTTCTTTCACTGCAAGGCAAATAGTTGAACACCAAATTCCAATCACAACGCATTCATGATTCAATATCAGACAGCGCTGTTTTGACACTCCATAAGTATCATTAATGGTGCTAAACAAAACCACAAATACATTCCACCATGTCCACTTAAGGGTTGAGTACGCTGAAATAACATTTTCACCATACTGTTTCTGTGTGCAAAAGCTAAAATCTCATCCGTCCACCCCCACTCACTTCCAAGTGGTTCTCAACTTGCTGCTTGGCACTTCATCAAGATTGAAATATGAACCTCTTATGGTCAGAAGTCAGCTTCTAGTGCTTTTACTCCCTTATCTGATTATTTGTGACACCTAACCCTACTGTGTGTAGTGTGCGCAGGGTAGTGCCCTGTACTCAATTGGAGATGAGTGTTGTCTGTCGCGGACTAATGTGTGTGTTTTAAGAACCGGAATGTATGTGAATGTGTTTGTGAAAATTGTGAAAAAAAAATTATACTTACCGTAGCCTCTGGAAGGCAACTCTTGGAGATGATCTCTGGTTCGGCTTTGTCGGCCTCGTGTGCTTGTGCCTCTCGCGGAATCTAGGGTCGTCCCTGTTCAGTGCGCCGTGAAGATCAGGCAGAGCTGGGTTGGGGTGTTTCCCTATACGCTTAAATATGTTTTCGGTGTGGTTTATCATGGACTGGATACTGAAATCCAGGTCCTGGTAAATGAATCGGTTGACTATGTATCTGGAAGTGGACTGTTTCTGCGCACTGGCCCTAGGCAGTAGAGGCATACAGGATGATGGAGAGTAGGAAGGTCTTGTTTACGAGCAGTTCCTCTTGGAGATCTATGTTATTCCTCCGTCCGATGATGGGGTGAAGATTGTGGCGAGCGGCTTGCGCCAGCCCTAACCTCTGTTGGATATTGGACCTGAATGTTGATTTCCTGTCGAGGGTATCTTGCTTCGTCTGTCCACGGAATCTCCTGTGTTCTTTCGGATGTACTTTCCTCCAGAAGAATATTATCGCTTGACTCTTGTCAGAATTGATACTAATCTTCCAGAGGTAACTCATCACTCCTCTAGCTTATCCGCTTGTTGTTGCAGGTGTCCTGTTTCTAATGCGAGGTTGGTGGATCTCGCCAGTAGAGCTGTGTCGTTCACGTAAAAGTCTACGCACACTGCGACAGAACGGCACAGGACGGGAACATGACGTGACGTTTATTTTCTCTTTCTACAGTTTCTTATGGAGGGGCGCACACCAAGGCAGGTAAAGAACAGACACATGCCAGGACGGGAACAGGACGGGCTAGGCCTATGCCGTGCTGTCTCTGCTTAAAGGCGACGTCCCGTCATGTTCCCGTCCTGTACCGTCCTGTACGCTTAGGTACGTCTGCTGGGTACACCAAGAAAAGGTGTGGGATAGAACTGCGCTGCAAACATGTATTTCTGGATTTAACTGTCTTCAAAAGACAAACTTGAGCTATTGAGGGTGATGCCATCTTCAGTTACGCCATCTATGCTATCGACAGGGAACTCAATTCTCGAATATCAAAGGAAGGTAAACGAGGCTTCCCAAGGCGGTCAGTTGCAAAGCTAAGGACATCGACCGCCGTCGAGATTCGTCGGCCTTGGGAAGCCTAGTTTATCTTTGATATTCGAAGACTGAGTTCTCTTTCGAACTCATCATTCTCACTTACCTTTGATTGTTTCTCTGGGACAGTTGGGGGCTAGCAATGCATTCATGGTACCGATTAGGCCTAATGGCATTTGGTTACTTCTCATTGAAACTTTAAAGAACAACCATTCAACTAGCAACTACTTTGTATAGTGTCCACAGACACTATAAACCCACAATTTTTTTGTGTAGTTGATAACATAATTCTTTTTATTACAATATATTCATTCTCGAATTATTTTCAAAGAAAAATGATTTATTCCCGAGAAAAGGTAGATCCACCTACAGTACAGGGTCACTTTGAAGTACCTGAAGGTAGAACCTGAATCAAAATTAAAGTTATCCGAGAAAAAGGTCACTGACTGTACTGAAATATTTCTTTAGAAATGTATAAAAAAGATAATCACATAGATTTTTCGTAACTTGTATACTTTTTCAATGATCTTTTTGAATCTTAAAGTAACATCTATTAAGAATTTCATCCTCATCTATTCTGCCCTTGATTTCAGCTTGAAATTGTTATTAAACTTTCTGAAATTCACCAGACATATCAACTTTCTGATACATTATTATCATTATAAACGAATATTGAGAACTTATTCTTGGACATTCACTTTTTTTTCTCTCATTTCGTGAGAAATATCATCGAATCCAGAAGAACTAATAATTTAAACTTATCATTCCATCTCTAAATACCACATTATTATTTGGTTTCGTTTGGAATGAATCATCTTTTTTAACTTTTGGAATGCAAGTTGAAATAAATGAAATGTTTGTTGAAAATTTGCTGATCGGCTAAAAGTAGGTAGAAAAAAAAGTACAGCCTGTCCTCCCTCTAGGCACACATTGTACAAACAATATAATGTTACTAATTGATATGGTTTACAATCCGGAGGAAGCTAATTGAGAAATAATGTAGATGTATTTGGTGATCCTATCAATGAAGAGTTTCAAGGAAATACTTCATTTAAGTATCTGAGAATGACACAAACTGGATATGGTTATTTGCCTTTAGGCTCAACTTCAAAGAAATTCTCGACTTTCAGTAATAACTATCATTATCAACAATTAATGTAATTTCTATATTCCATGACAGTTGGTTAAACTTGGATACGGGTATTGCAATTGTTTGTCAGAAGTAGGAGTACGAGATATTTTTATTTGGTTAGATTACGCTTTTCAGTTTAGTGGCTTTTTTAACGTTTCCAAATTTGAATTAATAGATAATAGATCGAGTAATACTCGATCCCATTTTGAAGAAATTTGAAAACCGGTAACCAACATTTCTTTAACGTTTGTCCTTCTTTCACTTTTTAGAATTGTAACATTAATTTGTATGCAAATTGAAAAAATGACTATCAGGGACTTAAAAAAAATCGGCACTTAAATTCCACTCAACTTTAATCTTATATAAGACTTTACTTAACATTTGTAATTCGTCTCTGGCAAATTGTTAAAGATTGAAATTGATTGCAAACTGGAACGACGATGGATCGTATTTATAATACATTATGGTACAGATCAAGTCATACCACAAGGATCATTGTCGAGTCATCTGATATTTCAATTTTTAATTCATCACAACTCTAAAGAATACATCAAATCTATAATTTGTGTGATACAAATTGCATAAATGATAAAAATAAGGCGTATTACCGAAAAGAACTGAAAAATATCCCAGATATGCTACCAAACAACGATAACTGTGGAAAAATTACGTCCACAAAAACGTAATTTGAAAAAAACGAGTGTGCTTTAGACCACACGACTAAAGTAAAACTTCTTTAGCTCCATCTTGATGTATGTTTATACACAGTGCGGTACTAAAGTTACGGATACATTAATTTTCTACGTGTTTATGAATGCCAATGGAAAGTCCTGAAACAGGTCAATTTTGATATTTGAAAATACACTTTTTCAATGAAATTATTCAACTGCTCCATCAAACCCTTAGAAGTTACAGCTTCCCTTATAAAAATGTTGAATAGAAAGGGGCAGCGTATGATACCTGGTTCATAATTACGTAGAAAATCAATTTATCCGTTATTTCAGGACCGCACTGTATATAAAGGAGTTTAACTTAAAAAGATGATGTTTTTCAAGAATTATTTACAATCCCTTGTTAACGAAATTCAAGTGCTCGTTTCGAAGATACTTTGTTTTATAAAATGAAAGGTTATTGAAAAAGTTCAGTCATATTTTGCAGGATATCCTGGTGTATCAGAACTTCAGACGAAAGTATTTTTTTCAACTTCAGTAACGAAAATCATCAGAAGATTCGAGTACTTGGGCAATGATTACATTGAATATGTTGCCGGGGATGCATTCATAATAAAACGTCTGGACTTGAAACTGAATATAAATACAGTTTGTCAAATGTAGGAAGAGCTTTCGGAATTCCGTTATGGTCCCGCCCACTAGATCTGCGTTTGTTAGAAGACTATGAGAGCGAGAGAGCGAGAGAGAGAAGGAGAGAGAGAGAGAGAGAGGAGAGAATCTTCAAGTCTCTTCCTAGATTTGACAAGCTGTATATCATTTACGTTAACAAGTAATGGTGCCAATTGAAACTATCAAGTATTTGCAATTATCATCGAAGACTTAATTTTTAGGAAAAATTTTCATCTTCAATTGAAAAAGAACATTCACAAATAATTTCAATACTCATATCTACAAGTTCAAAGTGATTGATTGGAATTAGGCGCTTTCGAACAAAAATGAACATTCATCAAAAAAATGTTTTGCTTCAACTGGAAGGCACAAAAGAATATTAATAATAGTTAATCATTCCTTGTATTCGGTATTGTCACAGTCTACTTCCTCATATTCGATTTCCATAATATTTCTTTCATTCATCAGGTTTAGCTTGTTCTTCTGATTTGGTAAATCTGAAAAAACAAATACTTATAATAAAATTTCAAACAGTTTATCACGTTTTTTCACGCAAACTGATTGGTACATTTCAAAATTCTTCAATAAGAGTATTTTCACTATGCAGTGTCGAAATTTCAGTTGATTTATATATGAATGAAACAATGCTTAATATTTCAATGATAAAGCCTCATATTTCAAATGTTAACTTTGATAATGATTTTACATTCATCCATGTCATCATTTCTATCAATTTTGTATATTCATATTCAGTGTTCAAGTACTTCCTTTTATGATTTTATCTCTCAAGGTAGAGGTACAATATTCTTTTTTATATCATTACTATCTCATCATTCATACTTGTTATTATTAAATGCTCATCAACTTACATGAGTAATTATTATCTAGAATCGTGCACTGCGTGGCATTGCGAAAGCGTTTCAAGATATCGCAAAAGTTTTCCGGTAGGAAATCCGATTTGGTAACAATTCCACAGATTTCTGAAAAAAAGAAGTCATTTTGTTCAGCAATGGAAAATTATCATGTTCCAATTACGGATCGAGAGAAAAAAATTCTTGCTAGAAATAAAAATAAATAAATATCGTGATAATAAAAAACTTTTTCCCCACCAGAACAAACATGCCGTCTCTCGACGCGAGTTTTGCCAACCAAGTTAGCCACATTAGGAGTTGGGTTTTAGTCATCTCATGATGATGCTAACTTGGTTAGCCACATCAGGAGACGACTGGAACAGACGTTCCAAATTCTACCTATCACGGCAATGGAAATATCAGTGCAACACTGTGAATCTCATATTCCTCACTTTTTGTAACTTCTATTTTTTACAACATATAGATTTTTGGCAACTTTTCTATGATTGTCAACTTAAAAATACTGTAAAACTTACCTTTCAGATGTTTGTTATGCATCGCTATAAAGTACCCATTGCTGTCTTTATCTTTTTTTATATTTCTGTCACTATTATTTCTTAAACCAATTGAATTTAATTTTGTTAGTCGTTGAGGCTCAACTTCTGGTTCTGGATCTGAAGAAAAATGAATGAAATCGATGAATTCCAATATTTATAACAACTTACACAAACAATCATCAGTTATTTGTTGACCAATTATTCTCAGCCTGAAATTATTTTGATTATCTTTCAAACTATTTCGGTATATCACTTGTTTGATCTCGTCACCTTCTACGTTGATGGATACTGAAAAGAAAATGCTGGTAAATGGGTATATGAACTTGTTTTGGTATTAATGTTTCCAATTTTCACAAGATATTCATCACTGATGGTTGATAAGAACTGTAAAAAAATTAAAAATTATTGGAAATAAAGGTCCAAGGACTATATCTTTTATCATCTAGATTGTGTACATGTTTAGGTACAGGTACAGTGTAGATATTGCCTACATTTTGTAAATGAGCCCACTGCAGTCTTCTTTAAATTTGTAATAAGTACGCTACAAAATCAAGCATCCTTGCTATCCTGTCCATATATTCAATAACACATGTATGGCGTAATCGGTAGGATGTGGAATGATACACGATCTGAGTTTGACTGCTGTTTAATCGGTGACCCACGAGACAGTTGACAGTTGGAATTTTTTGGTTACAATTATTTGCAAAGCGCAGAATATGAGCTACAACTCTGCGCAGCTCAGAATAACTTGAGAAATTCGTAAAGAGAAAATTAAAAAAAAAAATAAAAACATTAAAAAAAGGAAGATGTGATAAGTACGCTACAAAATGCCTAAGTGCCAACTGTCATCTGTCTCGAGGGTCACCGATTAAATAGCAGTTAAGCTCAGATCGTGTATCATTCCACATCCCACCGACTGTGCCATGTGTTATTGAATATATGAACAGGATAAAAAAAAGAAAAAAGAAAAAAAGAGAAGATGTAATAAGTACGCTTCAAAATGCCTAAGTGCCAACTGTCTCGAAGGTCACCGATTAAACAACATTCAAGCTCAGATCGTGTATTATTCCACAATCGGTGACACTTGACAGTTGGCATTTAGGCATTTTGTAGCGTACCTATTACAAAATTCATGGGTTTGGTTAGGATTGGTAGGTTATTTTTTTATACCAAACTTTTCAACAAGGTAGGCCTGGTTAGGTTAAAGGTAAGATTATTTTTTGATGAGAAACTTAGTTTTGAGAGAAACTTTTCTTTCCAATTTCATAGGCTGTGGTAGGCTAGGTCAGTTTTCAGTAAGGAAATTTAAAAACATTGACATTGCCAAGGATGTAGAAAGTATGAGAAACATGTAGTTTGCAATCCGTCAAAAGTGTAAGCTATCTAATTATTTTTTGGTGTGTACGCAATCTAGATGTCTTGTTTACAATGAAATATTGAGGCGTGTCATGAACTATACCTACACTAGGTCAGCAAAAATAGCGAAGAAATTTTGAACCCGAAACCTCTGGTTCGAAGTGAATAATAAAACTGACCACAACAAAAATATTTAATGAAAATGATAATGCCACAAATTTTTGAAAGATATTCTATAATTCTACTGAATTTATTCCTGCTGAAATATTTCATTGTTTTTAGTGACAGCAGCATTCTCTGTTTGAAAAACTAAAAATGAATTGAAAGTCTCCTGTAAGATTTCTACACTCTAAACAAATGATCTTGTTTAATCTTCATTGTCTCTCTAATAGATGGCGAAATGTGTATTTTTATTACAAACTACATGCTTTTTTGGCATGAGTTATTTTCTCGCATTCAAGTGTGTAGTATGCACTTTTTATTTAAAAAAACATTGAAGTTCTTCAAACAACGACAGATCTGTTTGTAATTCTAGATTTCAGCATTATTTGAAGATATATCGATATCTAAGATGTTTATATACTAGTGTAGCGACTCACTCGACTTGAATTCATTTGGATTTCAAGCTTTTTTAAAATAACGTTAGCTATTGTTAATATCGATGTCCATGTGACGGTACCCTGTTGTTTTTCAAGAGTGGTAAATTGAAAGGTAGATGCGAATTGTGATGAACCTGACAAAATATTCATGCCTAATTATGAATGTTTACCCAGCTAGATTTCTTTGAAATCTGATGAGTTTGAGATATCTGGATTTTAAACAATTATTATTATTATTTATATTTCACAACATAAATAAATTCAAAAATCATCAACATGGATATGAAACCCGACTTTAAGCGAGTAACCTGGAAAAACCGAAAATGAACAAAGCTATTCGACAAATATCAATTACATACATTGGACCTAAATTATTCAATCTTGCTGCAGAGCATATAAAAACGGAATATGTGTTTAAGTTAT